AAATCACGTTTCTTCAACAACCTAGCGGTCCTCGGCAATGGCGCCAAAAACTTGACAAGCCTCTACCGTCACACTATAAAGTGGCCAAGTGTAACCACCTACTAATGTGGAGTATAGCGGGTTCAGTTCTAATTGTCAACACGGGTCCTAGGTGTGATGACTACTTCGTGAAAGTCTTGTTATCTAGCGGTTCAAGTGTAGTGAAGGGTTAGTTAAACTAGCAAGCAAAGCAGTGAAAGTTGTGTTCAAGTTGAGAGAGTTCACCCGGATACGTTTCCCCCTAGACTGTAGTTAAGCCAGGTCGTAATTTACCAAGTTCAAGTTCAATGACAGTTATACTGCGGAAGGTTCTTAAACAGTCTGCAGTCTCGACTAAAGGTCTCCAGACCCTCTCAATCTGACTCCCCAGCGAGCGACTAACCTCCACCGGAGTAAACAGATTGAGGCCCTAATGAACCAAACCTCCTCTATCGAAGTAAATCGGGTACAGAATAGTGAATTGACTCCTCGACTAAAGGCTTCAATTCACTACCTTCAATCAAGGGTGCTCTATCAACCTAGGCAGATATTCTCTTTCTAGGTCAAAGCAGAAATAACAGGAATTTGATCAGGATTCATGCCATTCAAGAAATCAAACCTCAATTGAATATAATCATATCACTGAATTCATACTTGGGTTCATACAATCAGACCTAACATACAAATCTAGGGTTCTTCATACCCAGGTGAATGAGAAAGTTACTCCATAGAGAGAGAAGGGAAATCTAGCTCAGATGCGGAAACCATACTGTGAAGGATGGGATTCTGCTTCTGGCACTCAATCAACACTTCTCCAAGCTCAAACCGGGCTCCAATGGTGATGAAGATTGATCTAGGGCACTTGGAGAATCAGGTTCGTCACTTTCTCTCTCTAGGTATCAGCTTTTTCTCTCTAAAACTCGGAACCCTTCAAAAGTTGGCCTTCTTTTCTGTAAGAACCAGCTGTTCGCGATCCCCGGCCACAATACCCGGTCGTGTATTTCAGGTGCCCGACCAGGGATTTTGAAACGCAGCCAGCGGTAAAGGGTTAATACCCAATTGTGGTCCAGAATACCCGATCGGGTATTTTTGCTCTTTGGTTGGGACCCCTCCTGTTTCTCGACGTCCAAAATCGGTTTTCCCCGGTCTCTCTTAGCAATTTACCTGGCCGGGTATTTTGCTACTCCAGCACCCTTCTACTCTAACATCCTTTTTGACCCGAAACTCTTTCCTCGCCTTCACGTCAACGCCAAGTCCTGAAATATGACATAAAACACAAAACCTAGCGTGAAATCGGCTTAAAACACGAGAATCGACTCTCAAACGGCTCAAGAATGGAGGTATAAACATGCGTAGTTAATGGTCTATCAGGATATGTTCTTATTGAATGGGATTGCCTGGAGAAACTTCTCAAACTCTATGTTTTTAATGGACAATGGTGCTCATAGATACAACAATGTGTTAGAAACGTTAAACGCAATGTACTCATTAAAGGAGAAGCTTCTAAACAGTTCACCCCCACTAGAGGAATTCAATGGGAGACCCTCTTTCCCCGTATCTCTTTATCCTTATGTCTAATGCACTTACGTTTCTTATTGATAAGGATTTCGCTATGAACCATCTAGAAGGCATAAAACTCAATAGATATTGCCTGTCCTCACGCATTGTTTATTTTCTTATGACACATTAATCTTGAAGATCGCTTCAATCGAAAAAGTAGAATTTTGGGAATTTTTAGAGACTATGATGCAATCACTAGTCAAAAGGTGAGTAATAAAAAAAATCATTTATGCATTTTGCTTTGTCAAATGGCCACTCCTAATACCTCGGGAGTACCCACATAGTAGGGCAGATACAAGAAGGAAACCTTTGATTTCTTATCTAGAGGATGGGAAACAAGGAGAAGGTTGGAAGAGCTTACTTCTGTTGCCAGCAGGGAAATAAACATTACTCAAGGTTGTTTTTCCAACCATGTCCACCTTCATCGAGTCTCTTTTCATGTTGCTAGTCTCGACTATTTTTAAAAATGGACTTTATGCTTAAACGCTTCGTCAGGTTTGGTTCTGTTACTAAAAAAGTCATTTATTGGTGTGATGAAAAGACCCTATATGCACCTAAAGAAGAAGGAGGGATTGGATTTAGATCCTTCAAGGAGTCCAACCTTGTGCTCTCACTAAACAAGCATGGTGCCTCTTTACTAATCTGACATCCTTATTGGCGATTCTCATCAAAGGGCTATACTTTCTATATTGGAATTCCTAAAGGAAAGGAAGGGAAGTAGACCCTTTCAGATTTGGTCCAATCTCTAGGAGACAAGGGGAAAACTAGAGTTTGGCATCATTCCAGTTATTTCTGGTGGCATTTGACTTTAACTTCAAGGACCCATGGATTCCTTCCCTACCATTTAGGAAAATCGTTTCTATCCTAAATGATGTATCGAAGGGGGCTAATTGGATTAGTCATGCTAACCAAATATGGAACCTTCCCTCCTGCAGCCATATACCCAATCCACAAGAATGGCAAACCATCACTGCATCCCCATTGGACCCCCTATGCTCAGGACTTCTAAGCCTGGAGGTTTCACTAAATCAGGGAAAATCCCAGTTAGTTCTGCCTACCACGCCTTCCATGATCAGTTGAGATTTTCGATAATATAAGCCCTTGGATAACAATGGTGGAGAAGGATAAATGGAAGTGGTTATGGAGTCTCTCCTTACCTCCAAAACTAAAAAATTTCGTGTGGAGATGTGTGAAAGGGGCGCTATATACTAGGACTAAAATTTTTAGTTGCCACTGCTCACCATCAACAACTTCCCTTTCTGTGAGAACCATCACGATTAATCATTGCATGTTCTCCTGCCACCATGCCCATGAAGCGTGGAACAATCTATTCACATCCACAATAACTCTGCCACCTTTGCTTAACCCTCTAGATAAATGTATTCATACATGCTTTAAGGCCTTGACGGTGGAGGTGCTGGCAACCAAAATTCGACAAACGGTCTTCTCGATCGGGTCCACCCAGGCCCCAGGATCGGATGGGTTTACTGGGAAGTTTTTCTGCGCCTTTTGGGATGTGGTTGGTGAGTCTTTGGTTGAAGCTGTCCGCTCCTTTTTTCGAACAGGACAGATGTTGCGAAGTTTTAACCATACTTGGCTCACACTCATTCCGAAAGTGGATAGCGTGGAGAATATGCGCCAGTTGAGACCTATAAGTTTGTGTCAATTTTGTTTCATGATCATTGCCAAAATTATGTCTGAGCGATTAGCTCGGTTTCTTCTGACGATAATATCGCCAGGTCAGAATACGTTCATTCGTGAAAGACAGATAGTGGATAATGTTCTCATAGGGCATGAATTGATGCATTACCTCAAAATTAAGACTAAGGGTAAGAAAGGTTATATGGCTATGAAGGTTGACATGGAAAGGCCTATGATAGAGTCGAAAGGTTTGATCTGACTTGGATAAATTGGATTAAAGAATTCTTGAGTTCCTCCTCCTTTTCGGTTCTGATGAATGGGACACCAGCGGGCTATTTTTGTTTGACTCGGGGACTTCGGGAGGGTGATGTGTTGTCTCCTCTTCTCTTTGTAATTTGTACAGAGGGCTTTGCTGCACTATTACGTAAAGCCATTGCAGAACGGAAACTAGCTGGAGTCCGAGTTAGTCCCCAAGCCCGCGGGTTTCACATATGTTATTTGCTGATGATTCTTATCTGTTTCTAAGAGGATCGATGCAAGAATGTGAGAATCTGCTGGTGGTCTTAAATGAATATGAGGAGCTTAGTGGGCAGCGGGTCAATCTGGATAAGTCTGCCGTTTGCTTTAGTAAGAATATTTTGGTGGCCGATCAAGAATCCCTGGCTCTCCGGCTAGGAGTAGGGGTAGTTGATGTTCAAGACAAATATTTGGGGCTACCCACCTTGATTGCTCAATCTAAGATGGATACTTTCCGCTATTTGGAAGAGAAGCTATTGAGTCGGCTGCAAGGGTGGAAGCAGAAGGTGCTTTCATAGGCTGCAAAGGAGACGTTGATTAAGTCTATTGCATTCTCATTACCGTTACATGTCATGTATTGCTTTAAAATCTCTCTCTATCTCTCTCTCTCTCTCTCTCTCCCTCTCTCTCTCTCTCTCTCTCGGATTTTGGATAAGCATGTTGCTCGGTTTTGGTGGGGGGTTGAAAAGGGTAGGCCAAGAGTTTGATGGATTTCTTGGCAGCGTTTGTGTTTGTGTACGAGTAAGCATGATGGGAGGATGAGTTTCGGCGCTTTGAACATTTTAACCAATCCCTCTTGGCTAAGATTGGGTGGCGTATTCTGCACGAACCTGATTCCCTCCTGGCCCATATCTATAAGGGGAAATATTTCCCGAATGGTACTTTCTTAACTGCGACCGCCAGATCTCGCCCCTCGTGGGGATGGCAAAGTATCCTCCACGGTCGTGCTTTGCTGCAAAGAGGTCTTCGGTGGCAGATTAGGGATGGAGCCATGGTCTCTATCCATCAGTCTAGTTGGGTCCCATCAAGGCACCCTCATCCACCTCCGTGTAATCCTCATATAAATCTGGAGGGTAATGAATATAAGGTAGTAGAGCTTATGTTGTTGGCAAAGGGAGTGATTTTTCCCAATATTGTGGATCCTCTCGTGGCAGAGACACTTGGTCTCCGAGAAGCCATTCAGTGGTGTCGATTGTAGGAATTTCGTGCCTGGATTGGGTCCAGAATATAACTTGTGATTTTTTCACATCTTTTGTTTAAAAAAAAAACTAACAACCTTTACTTAAACAAAACAAAAGAACAAGCATCTCCGGAAGAAACCGTCAAAATAGATATCGCTTAAATATTGGCATTGCTATTCGTCGCCCTAAAATACCTTATTCGTCGCCCTAACGTTTATTAAAATTACTTAAATATCCTTAACTTAATTCTTATCTTTCAAAATCAAAACATATATAAACACTAAAACAAAGTAACAAACACATACAACTATGTTTAATAACAAAATAAAATAGCGAAATTAATGAATTAAAAGTTACAAATACACCAAAATAATAAAAAAATGGAATAAATGTAAATAACTCAGGCACGTTCGTACTCGCCGCTAGAAGTGCCGGAGATGGGTTTTCAACCCTTCCAGGCGGTTGGAAACTAAAAAAAAAAACTCTCTGCTCGGCAAGTGCGAGGCGAGACAGAAGATGAAGGTCGAGCCGAGGAGAAAGGAGAAGTTTGAGTCTGCCTTCGCTCATCGTCGGCACCGAAGAAGAAGTTCGCTCGTCGTAGCCGCCAACCTCTACTTCTGTTCTCTGCCCAGCCGTCCTCTGTTTCCGACGTCGCTCATCTTCGTTGCCGCCCGATTTACCATGGGAACGGACATGCTGCGAGGGTTGAGGTTGGTGGCGGCTTCCGGAGAGAAGAATCCACATCGACAGCGGCGGGGTTGAGGTTGGCGGTGTCTGGGCAGGGTAACGGATTGTTTGATTAGGGTTTTGGTTAGAGATTGGGGTTAGAGGGTAAGATTGTCAATTTGATGCATTTTAGGGCAACAAAAATGGAATTTTAGAGCGACGAATAACAATTCAGTTAAATATTCATCCCGGTCTTCACGTTCGAGTCCCCAACATTAATTTCGTACTGTTCCAATCCATCCAAAAACTCCTCAGGCAGAGTTTGTGGTGGATGGAAGCCTACGAGTTGCATGAAATTTTGTGAAGGCAGCACAACCTACCAATGGAACGCAACGCAATCCCATTGTGTGCCGGAGAAAAATGGAACTCAAGAAGAATGAAATAGTGGTCACGATTCATTCCGGTAACCACTGTCCACAATGATTGACAATGATTGCCTCCCTGACCTAAATCTTTCGTCTATCGTGTCCCATAAACGTGAAATATTTGCATTGCCAAATTACACAACCCATAAGTTTCATTATTTTTGTGTTATTAGTTGTAGTTGGTTGAACTTTATAGTACTTCATCACATAGTCAAAGTCGAGTGATGAGTGCATTTATTGAGTGTATTTTATATTGATATGAGGAACAAGAGAGACTTATTTATCTGTATGTGAATAGTTGTGTAATTTCAATTTTATAACTTTTTATTAAAATTATTTACACATTTTGTGAAGTAAAGTATCTTTAAGCCACACAATTCGAGGGAGATTAGTTGGTCCTCCTACTTTAGAGCACAAAAATAAGACTTGTAAGAAAGGGAAAAATTATCCCCGATAGTACTGGGACTCTTGAGATAAGCTCTTTGCAGACCGTTTGGTGTTCATCAGTAAGAAAACATTCTCTTAAGCCACACAATTCGAGGGACATGAGTTGGTCCTCATACTTTAGAGCTCAAAAACACAAAATTGGAGGAATTCGAAAAGCATTCTCGAATTATTAGACGCAACTGAAAGATAGCGAGCGGTTGTTTTACCATAAAGACATACATTTCATTTCACGGGTGAGAGTAAGGACGAAGAATAATCGATGATAGTACAAGCTACCTGTTGGGCTCAGATTAGCAAACATATCATTTGCCAATCACCAGCGATCTACTATGACTCTATAGAATCCAGACTTTTTACATGTGATGTGAACTCAACAAGATTAAGAGCTCATGACTAGATTGGAAGATATAGATTCGATGAGATTATTGAGGTTGCTACTGATTTAAAGATTGTTTGCACTGGTACAAGAATTTTTTGTATTAGAATCTTGGAATTTTGTAGATGATACCCTTTTGGTGGAAGGGAACAAAGAATTGACGGTCGATTGCTCAAAAAAATGGGAAGATGATGAGAAACAGTAAGACCATAGGGTGGATTACTAGGATATCATTTAAGAAAAACTTAAGGGTTAAGGTGGAAGGAGAACACATGTAATTTTATTGTTTATTTTGAAAATAAAATTTAAAATACAGTGCTAATTTATATAATTTTATGTATAAATTGTTTGAATGGGTTATTAAACTTTGCTATGCTCTTCTTGATCTAGATGTATATATTGAATTAAAAAATGTTTAATAGCATTTTGTACCCTTCTATTATGGTAAATTAACAAACGTACCCCTCTATAAAATTTTTGCACAAATATATTCTTCTAATATTAAAACGTAACGAGTTTACCACCCATCTAATTATCTGTTAAGTGGTCGTTAAAAGAGCTGTAAAATGACTCAATAGTTCCTCGTTTACGGTAAACACTCCTAATTTTAGGTTTTAATTATTTTATGTCCCAAATCAATTAATTAAAAAAATCTAACCCCTAAACTAATTAGCACCCACTCGACCAAAAAGGCAGAAACCGTCCCTTAGCGATTTGTCCCTCGACTCGCCGGCGGCGCCTGCTCCCGGCATCTCCTCGCCGGCGGCTGGACTAGAGAGAACCGTTTCAAACAGGCCGAGGATGTAATCCACGCCAAACGCTCAGGCCGCACTGCCGCGGAGTCTCCTAAGCCTCCAACTCACTATTATCGTTGCCGGTGCCGGAGCTTTTAGCACCGCCGTTGGCGCTAGTCCCCCCACCACGACAACTCTTGTCGCTACCACTATCCGATCATCTCGACCAGGACCACTCCCTGAGTCGTGTCCGAGTGCTGATCTTCGTAGTTGTCCAATTGCCCAATCTTGGTGATCTGAAACACGAGCTTGCCGACTGACGTACGGAAGGACCTGAGCTAGAAGATGGCCATCATCTTACTAGACAAGGATATCCCTTAATTGAGTTTAATCGTTAGGTTTTGAAAATAATTTGAGATAAGAATAACATTTTACTATTATATTTGGATCTAAAACACAATAACAAATGGGTTGTAGCGTAATTGAAAATATATTAACTAATAGTGGCAGTGTCCCTAATTTAAATCGCATAAACTACTACTTAAATATTATTTATACCTACTACGGGAGATTGGATAATCATTTTCCCAAATTTTAAAGGTGTCCCACTACCACTTAAACATTTTTTTTCTCATACGCATATTACTATCGTATGTTGAATAATCGTGTTTCCAAATTTTAGGGGTGTTCCGGGACACCCCTAACCATGCGTGTATCCGCCAATGGAAGTATATGTTTGTCTAAAAATTTAATAGAGAGGAAAGTTTGTTAATTTACTATATAAGAGGGGTAGAAAATGTTATTAACCCAATAAAAAAAATATCGTACTATTTTGTCTAGAACTTGATAGCATATTATGAATATACAATTCTCCGAAATATATGCTCTTCCATTCCAAGAGTGGGACGAGATACGGTGACAACCCCTAAGGGGGTTGTCAGATTCACAACCAAGGGTATTTTGGGTATGAAAAAAAGGAATATATGATATGATCCAAATCCGAAGAGAATCCTCGAACTCGGATTATATGACCAAAGTACGCAGCCTTCCTTCTTTTTAAGGATTTTCGAAGCTTTTCTCCAACTTAAAATAAAGGATAGATGCGGAATCAATCGGACAATCCCAACTCGTGACAAAGGGCAATTGGTATATTAAACCAATCGGACAGAATCAACTCGTGGAAAGGGGCAATTGATATAGGTCGATGCTCGCCACAACTAGACGCGTTCTCTAGTTGATAAGAGACACGTGAAACTCCTGGAGACTCTCGACAGAAGCTTGCACAAACGTTCACAAAGGAACACGAGTAAAAACTCTTAATTGATAACTTGAATATTGGGTACAAAATTCGTAGCTCTTACATCCTCTACTTATAGAGGTCATGAAACATAAATCTAACCTAAAAGGAATAGGAAAACAAATCCCAAACTAACTAGGAAACATAATACTACTTAAATAAGGACTATAACTCGTTTTTATGACCAAAGGAAGCTCCTTAGCAGCTAAGTAATCTCCAAACACGTTTTCAATGCTTAAGGAAGCTCCTTAGTGGTTAAGCAATCTCTTTCCTTGCCCTTTTCACATTTGGACGACTTGGGAAGCAAGGATGGACGTTTTGGGCTCCAAAAAATGTTGTAGACCCGATCCTTAATGCATTCTCCATTTTATCCATCAAGAATGCTCCTAGTTGATCCTTAAATCGTCGAATTCGAATCTTCATTTTTGGACCACGGGAATTATATATCGTGCTAGTCGATATCGCATCATTCCCTCTCTCTTGAAGAAGATTCGACCTCGAATCTTTATAGAACTTTGATCTCCAATCAGCACCACTCTTGGCCTTCAAACGTTGTTGTGGTAGCGAGAATTGTATCATTCCCCCCTTCTTAAGAACAATTCGTCCACGAATTGTAGAGACTCCATTTTGATGAAAACCTTCCAAGTAGCTCTGCAATTCTCGTCGCTTTTCCATGCGTGCTCCCTCTTCGAAAATTGCATCACCAACCACGAAATCAGTATGATCATATTCAGGAACAACTGATGAATCCCCTAGAATTTTCAAGAATTCATCTCCTCCATTGATTTCTGGTGTCTTCATGTATTGCTCACAATCCGGCGCACCCAAAGCTGACTTTTCAACAAGAACATTTTCTATCGCCTCCTCATCATCAAAATCCTCATATTCTTCACAACAAGTATCGAAAAGTGGACCTTCCATAGGCGATATTTCAATATACTCCTCCTTGTCTTGATCTAGCTTTGATGAATTAATTCCCAATAAAGCTTCCAATCGAGCAAGTTTGGTATCCCATTGTTCTTCCAATCGTGCTTGCCCTTGAAGAATAACTTCGATCGTCGTGAGAGCTTGCTTCATCGTCTCTACCAATCTTTGACCTTGCTCCATTATTGATTTTCAAAGGCTAACAAGAATCACAAAAACAAAACAAAAAAAACAAACACAATATATTTTTTTTGTTCTTTTTTTACCACGTACAGCTTTGTGGCTGTATAACTTTTTTCTTAGATTTTTTTTTATTACGTGAACAGTACACGGAAATAAGAAAAACAATAATATAAAAATTATAAAAAAAAACACTAACTCTTTTTTTTTTCTACTCACGTAATGTAAAGGAAGAAAGAAACCAATTTTTTTTTAATATGCCTTTTTCAACCTATATTTATTTTTGGCTTTTCTGGAAAATACCTCTTACGATAAATAAAACAAATAAGCTTAAATTACCTCTCTTTTTTTTTTTGCCGCTGAGTTTGAACGGGGCTCTGGTACCACTTGATGTGATCAAAGTACGCAGCTTCAACGATATTTTTATGATTTTCTGATGTCGCCTTTCTTGAACTCGAAAAATAAAGATAGATGCGGAATCAATCGGACAATCCCAACTCGTGACAAAGGGCAATTGGTATATTAAACCAATCGGACAGAATCAACTCGTGGAAAGGGGCAATTGATATAGGTCGATGCTCGCCACAACTAGACGCGTTCTCTAGTTGATAAGAGACACGTGAAACTCCTGGAGACTCTCGACAGAAGCTTGCACAAACGTTCACAAAGGAACACGAGTAAAAACTCTTAATTGATAACTTGAATATTGGGTACAAAATTCGTAGCTCTTACATCCTCTACTTATAGAGGTCATGAAACATAAATCTAACCTAAAAGGAATAGGAAAACAAATCCCAAACTAACTAGGAAACATAATACTACTTAAATAAGGACTATAACTCGTTTTTATGACCAAAGGAAGCTCCTTAGCAGCTAAGTAATCTCCAAACACGTTTTCAATGCTTAAGGAAGCTCCTTAGTGGTTAAGCAATCTCTTTCCTTGCCCTTTTCACATTTGGACGACTTGGGAAGCAAGGATGGACGTTTTGGGCTCCAAAAAATGTTGTAGACTCGATCCTTAATGCATTCTCCATTTTATCCATCAAGAATGCTCCTAGTTGATCCTTAAATCGTCGAATTCGAATCTTCATTTTTGGACCACGGGAATTATATATCGTGCTAGTCGATATCGCATCATTCCCTCTCTCTTGAAGAAGATTCGACCTCGAATCTTTATAGAACTTTGATCTCCAATCAGCACCACTCTTGGCCTTCAAACGTTGTTGTGGTAGCGAGAATTGTATCAATATATTAATTACCTCTTTTGTATTAATTATATTGGGAATTAAAAACCAATATGAAATACAATTTTTTTTTTAAATTTAAATCATATACATTAATATCTCTATCTCTCTCTCTCTTCCTTTCTCCAGCGGCCACTCCGCATCGACCGACAAACTTTTTCTCCGGCGAATTCTCTCCGGCAGACTCCCTCCGGCAACCTGAAAAAATGTACCAGTGCGTTAAAAAGTGTACCCATCTATTAGTCTACTGGTAATTAATATACCAGTGCTAGTGGTACGCTACCAGTACATTAAAAAATGTACCAGTACTAGCGGTACCAGTAAAAAATGTACCAGTACTAGTGGTACGCTACCAATACAACGGTACCACTACCATATTGGTAGCGGTACCAATAGAGAATAACACAACGCTACTAGCATTGGTAGCGGTACCAGTAGAGAATAACAAAAAAAAAACAAACAGATGATAGTGGTACCAGATGATAGGGGAGCCACTGGTATTGGTACCAGTGAGTAGTGGTAGCGTACCAATAGCGCTACCAGTGGTATTGGTACCAGTAGAGACTAAAACAAAAAATCAGATCGTCGTCCCTCCCACGGCGCACGGAACCAACCCAATCGCACCGCTACCGCTGCCGCACAACCGATCCCTCATGGAATTCGCGAACGACATGCCGGGGCCCACCCGCACGCTTTCCCCGCGTCGATGTCGGCGTGGAGAGGGACTGTCGCCGTCTCCCAGCGGAGATCGGCTGAGAGGCGGAGGATTGCAGGGTGAGATTCGCACTCCGGCGGCACGATCCCGTCCCAGATCTTTTTTTGGTGGTTGGCGATTACGCCGCCGCGGCCGGCCATGTTGCTCTGGCCCGATAGGATGAAGACCTGCGACGGTGAATCCTGTTGTTCGAACATTTGAATTTCCCTTGCTGGCGGAGAGAGGGGGAGGAGAGATGGTGATGTCTACGGGAGAGAGGGAGGTTGGAGGAGTTAGGGTTTTTGTTCTTTTTATATGGTAGGGTGAATGATTGGGTGTGGTAAATTTTTACCCTTCCAAAAATATCCTTCTTTTAATCTTAACCGTTAATTTAAAAAAAGAAGAAAGAGACAAGAGAGAGAGCGTATCCAAAGGCTATGAAGTGGGTTGTAAATCTGACACCCCCTTAGAGGTTGTCACCGTATCTCGTCCCTTCCAAGAGTCAATAACTTTAAGCAATCCGGCTAACCGAACAAGAAATAATAATAGTAATGAATATACTAATAATTAAATGTTCAAATTCGGGTCCCAACATCAATTCCGTAGTGTTCCAAATCATCCAAAAACTCAGGCAGAGTTTGTGGTTGGTATGGAAGCCGACGAGTTACATGAAATTTTGCGAAGGCAGCACAACTAACCAATGGAACGCAACGCAATCCCATTGTGTGATGGAGAAAAAAGGAACTCAAGAAAAATGAAATTGGGGTCACGACTCGTTCTGGTACCCACTGTCCACAATGATTGAAAATGATTGCCTCCAAGACCCAAATCTTGCCTCTGCCCTCCCTGATTCATAAACGTGAAATATCTACATTACCAAATTGCATAACCAGAAGTTTCATCACCGACCACCACAATCCACCACGAAAACCATATCCACTAAAACCATATCCGACCAACCACCGCACACCGATCGATAACTCCCGTCGTTTCATCATATTACCCGTCGGCCGGGTAAAGGAAAAGTACAAGCGATAGCCAGCCCCATCTTCTACCTTGTGACTTGTGAGCATGTGTGCACATCCTTTTTTAGGTCACCGTCAAACTCTTCGTGCAACTTGCAGTAGACAATCCGATCCCAGCCGTCTCTATAACAAATCACAAGAGGGAGAAAGACAGAGAAAAGAAACAGTTGCTATAAACTATCTTATGGCACACGGAATTCATAAAAGAGAAAGGGCATCGAAGATTGGAACCTCATTTTAAAATTGCTTCCTGACACACAACTTGTATATCATTGATGACAACAAGTTGACAACCCCTCTTTGTCCCAACGGTGCATCATCACTTGCTACCAGCTGCAGCTCCAGAGCACAATTAACCAACAAGAACACAAAGTCAGAATCATAACATAACCAAATAAGCAGAATACTAGAACACTTCGAACCCATCCCTATTTTCCCGGTTTCGTGACACCTCCATCGTCGTTATAAATTATCCATTATCACTAGTGTTGATTCGGTTATGGTGCTCACAAGTCGTCTTTAAATACGTGCTCACAATGCTACGTGACTTTAGAATCAGAGAAGAACGCCTCACAACTATCGAATAGCGCATGATAAAATACCACTATGATTATCCAACCGTTGCGAAACTTCCCTTCTCAATCAAACTATCATAATCGTTGTAAGCACGTTCTCATAGAGATGATGATTCTTGCGTGGGTGTGTATATAAATCGGTTATATGATCTATCGAGTTACTAGGCGCTGTAGACTGTAGTTAACCAACCCACGAACCGCCACCGTGGTAAAAGAGTAAAACGCCACCGGAGGTCTCTCTGTTTCCGTCTTCCTTTCTATTTCCTATTCAATTTCCGGTAACTATTACTTGGGGCATGTTTGAGCGCAAGTAACCTAACCGCTCGGCCAAGGTATTGACGTCTTCCTGTTCTTCCCCTCCGCCCTCGCCGGTGCTCTCGCTCAGCAATTCTTCCCAGAATCCGTCGTCGAGTTCCCGGTCCGACATCGATTCAAAACCGTCCTCTTCCGCCTCCTCGTCCTCATCCGCTTCCTCCTCTCTCTCCTTCCTAATCCCCTTCCCGTACCCCTGCATTTCAAGCGCCAGGGACTCCAGCTCCGTAAATCCAAACGGCGATTCTCCGATTTCGTAATCCAGAGGCTCCGACTTCACTTGCCAATTGCTCGATTCGCCAACGGCGAAATCAGAACTCCGACAACCGCGACCGCGGCCCTGGTCAATCGGCCGCCTCCGCTTCTTGCTCAGGGCTTCCTCCAGTTCTTTCCTCTTCTCCTTCTGCTGCGCCAGCTGATGCAAGAAGGCCGGGTTCCGAACCGCCCGAGCCAGGAACTGCATCATCTGTTGCTGTTTCGTCTCCGTTCCTTGCAGCCTCCGCTCCAGCTCTGCCACGTAGGCTTTTGTGCTCTGCTGCTGCTGTCGGAGCTTCACTAGCTCCATGGTTAGCACCTGTTTGTCTCGCTTCAATCGGTCGACTTCCCCGTCGAACCAGACGACGTTATTGCTCCCCGACGCTTGATGATGATGAAATTGATTGGGAGGAATGGATAGGGCCTGAGAATGGAAAGAAGAAGGATGAGGAGAAGGAGGATTAGGAGGAGCTTTCCTTCGCCGGATGTTCTTCAGCAGATGCTTGTGACCTCGGAGGAACTCCTCGTTGCCGAATTCCCATCTCTCCGGATCGATCTTGCGGAACCCCTGTAGATCTCAAGTGAATTTTTTTTTCTTTTAAAAATCATTACAATTTAGGAAAGAGAGAAAATATCTGTGGCAGATATAATAATGAAAACAGGAGCTCTTCTAGCAAATCGTCATCACTGTAGCTTAAACGTTGAAATGAAGTCGATTCCAGCCAATTAATCATTGCCTAAAACACAATGAACAAACACCAGAGGAAAACACAGAAGAGAGACGGGTGATCAATTTGGAACCAGAGGATCAATTTGCAGAGACACGGAGATGGAGGCGATGGCAAGAAGAAGAGATGTGAATTCACACAATCAGGAATTAATAATTGAAGGCAATTGAATGATGATACTCACGTAAGTGTTGAGCTGGCGGACGAAGCTGGAGAAGTTATTGTGCTTGAAGAACCGAGGGAGGAGGTTAGTGGAGAAGGAATGAGCATCCCAGACAACGAAGCTGGTGCCGCCTCTGCTCCACGAGACGACGTGGTTTGTGATCGGATCGTCCACCATCTCGAATGTCTTGGTCAGGAATGGCGGCGGTCCGACCTCGTGGAGACCTTCGATTGGCTGCGGCGCCGGTGGTGTCACCGTCATCATCGCCGGCGGCGGTTCATACTGATGATCACCGGATCCCCCAGAGTACTCTTCCTTCACGAGGAAGAAACGATTCATTTATCCGAGTCTCTCTCTCTCTTTTCTATCGATTCCGGTCCTCAGTCAAGCTTCCAATCCACTAGTCCTCCCGAATCTAAGTTAGGGCGAGGCGATGAAATGCCGGGACGAAGAAGCAGAAGAAAAAGCGAGAGAAAAGCAGGGGTAGGCTATCCACGCCACGCACATAGGAGAAATTCAGTTAATAAGGTTGCAGATCTTCTCTGATTAGAAGACTGTTGGAGGCGATGAAAATTTTTGGGCTGCTCTTACGAAGGACAAGAAATGGGGATTGGATTCCTTATATAGAGGGACGCCGACGGACTGGTTGGCTGAAGAAGAAGAGTGGTCTAATTTACCAAAAACCCGCTCAGAAACTTCTAGATCTATCGTATACAAAGGGGTAGAAGCTTGGAAATTGAACTTTTCCCTTTTTTTTATTCAAATTTTTGTGGATTTATGGCAAGGATGACAGACCACTAAACATTTTTATCTTGGTCGCTTTGATAATTAGGCTATATAAATTTGGTTAAATCCGTAAATACAATATATTAGTCATAACTATTACGGCTTTTCTACTGCATGTCACCGTAATATGGACTTTTCGGTCGACCTTATATAGGATTAGATCGATCGAACATGTTGTTTCAGTTTTGTGAGATTCAACGACGCGGTTGACCGTCTATAGCAAATGGCCGACCTCTTTGTGAAGCGAACAGAATGAAAGGTCGACCCAAATACCTCATAGGCCGACCATTTTGCACTTAATAGGTCAACTGCATAAGTACGAGGTCGACCTCGTGCACACCGTATCCGTATTGGATAAGGATTCCAACACCATAAAGGTAACCCTAACTTATCTACCACTTAATTCGACTCATTCACATCCTAAATATCTATAAATACGAATATATGTCACCTTCACCGCCACCAAAACTCTGAATTAGGTTTTTTTGTACGGTTAGAGCCTTTGTGAAGAAGATCGTTCGCGGTTGCTGTTCTACGTGTTGAAAGTGGTCGACCACGTCGAAGGTGAGGTCGACCTAATGTAGCATTCGTCGTAATCTTGCCTAATGTGTAATTTCCACCGTCTAATTTGATGTATTGTTGCATGCAGATTTCCATTCGGTCGACCCTTATCTCAATCAGGTCGACCTCTGTTTGACAATTGTTCGAAATTGAATTTAGGACACAACACTCGGACTTCTGTACTTGCGAGGTAAGGAAGATCAACCCAATAGGTCGACCTAATGTTGTTCAAGGTCGACCGTTCTTGTTTGTTTTGGTTGTTCATCCCGAATGTCGACTTTGGCTTTGTTTGTAAGACTATGTTGTGCTTAAAAGGTCGGCTGCTCAAGCTGTCTGGTCTATCTATCCGTTGTTCGTGGTAATATTACACTTGCTTTAGTTGGTAAATTGGTATTTTTCTGCTGGATAGGTCGACCTAGGAAGAGCAAAGGTCGATCTTAAAGGTTCTGATAGTGACAAATTGTCTTCAAGGTAGACCTAATAATATGTCAGGTTGACCACGTCTATGTTTTTTGTCAATTGTAGAAAATTGAAATTGAATTATGATTTGAATTTTTCTTTAAATTTTTTAGACGATGGCGCATGATGAGAGGCAGCATCACGATTTGGGTGAAATCATGAAAGTGTTGAAAGCCACACAAGAGCATCTGGTGGTGAGTCAAAAACAAGTCAATGACTATCATAAGTGCATTCGTGATACAGTGGAGCAATTGTTAGTTCGATTGCCAGATATGACTGGGATGATGCATGATGGTTTTGAGAGGCTAGAAGGTGCTATCAAAGAAATAAGTGCAGAACGAATGGAGAATGGAGGAAGAGATGGTACAAGAAAGAAATTTGACTTTGATGAAGAGGAGGAAGACCATGATGACTATGCAAATTGCTACCAGAGCATAGACGATTTATTGAAAGAGGACAAGTTAAAGGTAGACAAGTATATTCATATGTGAGTAAAGATATTAGTATTGCTATCATTAGTGCTAATTTGTTTTGTTTATATGTGTGACAGAGTGAAACAAGGTTTGGCAGCCAGGGTTCCTCTCCTAAGTAAAAGAGACCTCGATATGAAAGTGACTCCTACACCACTCCACAAAAGGAGCATTTTGTAAGAAAAGGATTATTTAGTGCTGATAGCGACGAAGATGAATCTAAGAGTCCTTTCGAAAAGCATGGAGTAAGTTTACATTACATATTCATCTATAATGTGTGTTTGTGTTCATATGTAACTTTAATTTTAACAATGATTTGTAAGTCATGAAAGTGGAGAGCCTAGAAGGATTCACAAAAAATCTGCAAATTTCAGTTGAAGACTTATTTTATGTTGTTACTAAAGAGAAGGCAGGAGACACGAATTGGGACAAGTAAGAGACTTTTTTTTAAGTAGTACATGTGGTCAACCGTTTAGCCAATGAGGTCGACCGTTTAGCCAATACGGTCGACCTTGAATGTGAATAGGTCGATCTGTGCAAATCACAATTGACATTTCTGTTATTTTGTTTTTTGCAGTTCGATCGTTGTTGACTTTTTTACTGAAAACGTGCAACAAAATTATTTGAGTTCGGTCATTAGCGAGAGTAGCTGGATTTACTCATTCGTAAGTACTATACTGCTACGACTTTTGTATGAATTGTGCACTATTTATGTTACGATTTACGACGATTTTTGGGTTGATTGTTGGTTGGTAGGTAGTGGATTTGTGTGCAAGGGCACTAACAATGTTTGAAAAACATGAGGTGAAAGAGCCAACTGTGTGGTATTTGTCAAATATGTTTTCGGTAAGAGCCGTAATGTTTATTTATTTGTCATAACCTAGTTATTAATATTATACCATGTCAATTGATCTCAATTAGAATATGATGCAGAAAATGGTATGCGCTAACAAGAAGACCGAACAAATTCTTAACAAGTTGATGGATGATGGCATGGTGTTTATGTCGAATGTTAGTGCATGCCAGAAGGTTAGTCAATGTCTCTATCTCATTAAACTTCCAAAGTGCATTTGTTTGTATTCTTTTTTTTATAACATATAATGAGTGTTTCGTTGCTAGATATTTATGTCAGTTCTGGACGATGAAGCACGTCATTGGTTTCTGTATCTCGTCAATGTCCAGCAAAAAACTTTATTTTTTGCTTGACAGTCTACCTTCAACTAGTGAGGCGAATCGTAAGCGTAAATCAAACCTATGCAAGATATTGGTAAGTGTTTCCTATAATTTTCTGACTACTAAGTGTCACGTATTATGCTAGAAGTATATAATATTCGTTATTTGTGTGTAGTTGTCCAAATTGCATGATATTTTCAAACTGGAGCGCATGAGCAATGTAGCAGTACCAAATTTTGGAGATTTCAATTTCGAAGAGCTACACGTTCAAGGGCAAAGGAATAATACAGAGTGTGGTGTGCACGTCATGTAGTGAATGCGCTATGGATCCAAGGATTTGGATAGAGTGGTTAGTGTATCGTCAAACAAATAACTTATTTAATTCATATTTTTTTAGTTCTAACGAAGTCATACATGCCATAATGCAGATAGGAGAAGAACACAAGTTACCGGCTCGAAAGGAGATCTATGGTATCTGGCTACACATTTTGAAAACCGTGCACGAGAAAATCTTTTCAAGCATGTAGTAGATGAATGCATGGAACGAGGCAAAGAGAGAAAGAGTTCAAACAAAAAAGCAAAGAAATGAAGTCATTAAGTTACAATGTTGCATTATTTAGACAATACATTGAATTTATATTTGCCAGGTTGTCTCCTTTTGGATATTGAATGTTTTTCGTTTATTAGATTTTGTATACAATTATGGATGTCAAGGAATTTACAATTTCAATCGTCTAGAACAAGAGGTCGACCACATAATCAAAGCGGTCAACCCCGTAGGCAAAGCACATGTCGACCTCCTATGCTTAAGGTCGACCTATGATACCTTTACTTAGCTCATAAACAATGTGGAATAAGGATTGAGTCCTGTCTGTTTCGCCTTCATAAAAAAACGGTCGACCATTTGTGTAAAGAGGTCGACCTAAATGGGTCGAATTAGCTTATTACTTACTTCTCCTTGTCCAATTAGGATTTTGTGTACTTGTCCTTGTCGAATTATGATTTTATGTATCCTTCACCAATTGGGATAAGTTTTCCCCATACTAGTAAGGATAAGAAATTCGTCTACATTCTATATAAATAGATGGAAGTCTTAAGACTTTATTCGTACTTCGATTTATGCAATTTGTTGGAGTGAAGTTGTAATCCCATCGCTCTTATTGTAATCGTGTGTTGGTGGTGGTTTATTCTTACTCCGATCGATCTTTTCACTAAGTGGTTGACCTTGTTTGCTAAGGTATGTTTCGATGTGTCGTGTGTGCTGGTTTACGGTTCTCTGTGGTTCACCTTTTCCCTAATTAGGTCGACCACCTCAACCTTACGGTCAACCGCTCTGTGTAATTCTGTGATAAGGTTGACCATACAGTGGATCCAGGTTGACCGCAGCTGTGTAATTTGGTGATAAGGTTGACCGTACAGTTGATCCAGGTCGACCTGACGAGACCTAATTTTGATTTTATTTAACATTCAATTCATATTCCGATCATTGCAGGATGGATAATAGAGATGATAGAGATGCTGACGAGATTAACTTCGATGAGGAACCTAAGGATGCTTGAGGAGGATCTATGGATAATCCAGATGATGAAGTGATTGGGGAAGATGAGGAAACGAAGTGTGCTGAAAAAGAATTTATGGATGATGAAGAAGCTACTGAATATGAACAACAAATTCCTTCCAAGGAGTTCCAAACATTAGAAGATGCAGAGAAATTTTATGATGCGTATACTAAAGCGAAAGGGTTTAGCATTTGAAGTAGAGATCTTCGAAGGATTGGAGTAGTAATTGGGAGGTCAATGGTATGTTCGAGAGAGGGGAATAGACAGAAGATGCATCTAGATAAAGAAGGTCGAACACGGCAACATCGTAAGATGACAAGAAATTCTTACAAGGCATCGTATACTATATGCTTTGATCAGAATAAGAAAATGTGGGTTATTTCTAAGTTAGATAGGAAGCACTCACATCGTTGTTGCAATGAAGAAGAAACTCAATTCCTTCTGTCTCATCGAAATGTGAGTGAATGAGACAAGGCTTTGGCGATAGGGATGCGACAGTCAGGAATAAAACAACGCCATATTGTTTAGTTCCTGAAGAATATAGTTGGAGGATATGAGAATCCGGGGTACATTCCAAAGGATTTGGATAACGCTATTCAGAAATCCCGAATATTTGACGACGATCTAATAGGAGACGTGAACCAAACATTGGTTTACTTGCAAAGTAAACATACTTCTGATGCTGGCAGCTTCTTCAAGTACATAACCAACGATCAAGGTGAATTAAGCAATCTCTTTTGGTCAGACTCCACATCTAGAGCAGATTACCATTTTTTTAGGGATGTTTTGGCGTTTGATCATGCTACAAGCGCAACAAGTACAATCGACCATTTGTTATGATGGTTGGTGTAAATCACCACCACCGTAATATGATATATGGTTTTTCCCAGTTGGATAACGAGACAATCGCCAACTATGTTTGGTTGTTGAATACTTTTCTGGAGTGTATGAACTCTAAGATGCTGAATTCAGTTATCACAGACGGATGCAAGTCTATGTGTGGCGCCATTGCTACTGTTATGGTTGGAGTGCCTCACCGTCTGTGTATTTGGCATATTGAGACAAATGCGACAATGGCCGTTCATAAGAGAGAGTTCGTTAGCGCATTCACCCACTTCGCGAAAGCACATATATCAAGTGAGGAGTTTGAGAGGCGCTGGGAGCGTTTGATTAGTGAGCATGGTTTGTCTGCAAATAAGTGGTTGCAAGATTTGTACGCTGACAAATTACTTTGGGCAGAGGCATACGTGAATGATATTTATTTCGGTGGACTCCAATCAACCTCGCGATGTGAGTCATGTAACCATTGGATAAATGGGTATGTGGGAACTCAATACAGCTTGCAACATTTTGTTCAGGGCATTGATGAAGCACTGGAGAGGATGCATTTCACAGAGGTGCAAGATGATTATTCTTCTAGGCACACAAGGTTGGTCTGCAAGCATGCCCTTCGCACATGGGAAATGCAAGCTGAAAGTATCTACACACATCGTACATTTGCTATCTTCAAGTCTGAACTAGATAATGAAGCTTCTTATGTATTAGTGGAGACAAGAATTGAATCAGATGGGACAGAGACATTCATTCTGAAGAACTGCATGAACTCGAATTGGATTAGGAGGTTAACATTTACTACGACCAATCAAGATCTAAAATGTGAGTGTGCATTATTTGAATCTAACGGGTTTCCATGCATACATATGCTTATAGTCATAAAAAAAATAAGGGATTTACAACACTACCCTCCACGTGGTTCAAACTTCGATGGACCCAAAATGCGAAGACACTATATCGGCATCCTGGAGTTGGAGGTGATGTGGGAGAGAAAGTTGGTCGATTGATAAGACATGGGGGATTATCTCTAAAGTGTAAGCGTTTGTGTGACATCACGTGTGGTAGTGAAGTTGCTTTTAATCATGTCTCTAAGTTGTTAGATGACCTTACTCAATGATTAATTGAGTTCTCGAGGGAGAGAATGGACACCACTGCACCTGCAAACTCTCCAGCACCCCTTTAAAGTGTGAAAGACCCTAAAATTGGGAAGATCAAGGGGACATTCAAGTCAGCACGAAGTGCATCGGGCAAAAACGTAAGAAAGTGTTCGAAATGTGGGAAATTTGGTCATTTTTGCCCTAAGTGCCCGAAAAAAGTCACAAAAAAATCATAAATTTCTTCTATTGTTTTTAGGAGTTTATTTTATGTAACTATGATTGCAGTGTTTTATTTTCGAATTATCTTCATAATTTATGAGTTAGTTGATTGTTGGTTGAAATAAACAAATACATAAAATACGGTCGACCTGCTGCAAGACATGGTCGACCAGACCATATGAGGTCGACTTACTATATTGCGGGGTCGACCGTTTACTTATTCGGCTGACCAAACCAGTTCGTATGACAACATCAGCCCAAACCCTATCCTTTCATTCCCTATTTAAGAACCTACTCCACTCATTCTCTACCACAACCAGAACCTTATCCTTCCATCCCCTATTCTTCCTCTCCTTTCCCTTCTTCTTCTCAAATTTCAAAAATCTCATAGGAGAAGCACCAAAGCCTCCATTCTTTTTCATCCTCATCTACTAATAAGAAGATTAAGGTGTGTATTTCAATCTTCCTTTCATTTGGTTCGAATTTTATGTTCTTTATTGGAATATTAGATTGTTTTTACAAAAACCTAAAGCTGAAAAAAAATATTTTTGTATTCTGTTCGCCAGAATCAGTCGACCTAGTCTTCTTCGTGGTCGACCGGATCTGAGGTTGACCTATGATGTTTATGAGGTCGAATTATGATGTTTTGCACTCCAATGTTACGCGTTTGCTTCGATCCATTCTCGTTTTTTATGAACTGAGGTCGATCTATGATGTTTTGCACTCCAAATGATACGTGTTTGCTTCGATCCATGCTAGTTTATTATGAACTGAGGTCGACCTGTGATGTTTTTGAGGTCGACCTATGATGTTTTTCACTTCAAATGTTACGTGTTTGCTTTGATCCATTTTCGTTTTTTATGAATTGAGGTCTACCTATGATGTTTTGCACTCCAAATGTTACGCGTTTGCTTCAATCCATGCTCGTTTAATATGAACTGAGGTCGACCTATGATGTTTTGCACTGCAAATATTACGCCTTTGCTTTGATCCATTCTCGTTTATTATGAACTGAGGTCGACCTGTGATGTTTTTTAGGTTAACCTATGATGTTTTACACTCCAAATGTTACGCGTCTGTTTCAATCCATTCTCTTTTTTTTTATGAACTAAGGTCGACCTATGATGTTTTTGAGGTCGACCTATGACGTTTTTTACGAGTATTGGCCTTCTTCTTCGACCAATATTTATGCTTGATTCACTGAGGTCGACCTATGGTGTTTATTAGGTCGACCTATGATGTTTTTGACTCCAAATGTTACGGGTTTGCTTCGACCCATTCTCATTTTTTATTAACTAAGGTCGACCGTTGATGTTTCTAAGGTCGAACGATGATGTTTTTTACGATTCTTGGCCTTCTTCTTCGACCCATATTTGTGCTTGATTCACTGATGTCGACCTATGGGGTTTATTAGATCAACCTATGATGTTTTTTACTGCAAATGTTACGGGTTTGCTTCGACCCATTCTCGTTTTTTATTAACTGAGGTCGACCGTTGATGTTTTTGAGGTCGACCGATGACGTTTTTGACGAGTCTTAGCCTTCTTCTTCGACCCATATTTGTGATTGATTCACTGAGGTCGGCCTATGGTGTTTATTAGGCCGACCTATGATGTTTTTTACTCCAAATGTTACGGGTTTGCTTCGAACCATTCTCGTTTTTTATTAACCGAGGTCGACCGTTGATGTTTCTGAGGTCGACCGATGACGTTTTTGACGAGTCTTGGCCTTCTTCTTTGACCCATATTTGTGCTTGATTCATTGAGGTCGACCTATGGTGTTTATTAGGTCGACCTATGATGTTTTTGACTCCAAATGTTATGGGTTTGCTTCGACCCAATCTCTAATTTGATTAACCAAGGTCGACCGATGATGTTTTTGAGGTCAACCTATGATGTTTTTGACGAGTCTTGGCCTTCTTCTTCGACCCACATTTGTGCTTGATTCATTGAGGTCGACCTATGGTGTTTATTAGGTCGACCTATGATGTTGTTGAGGTCGACCTATTTATGTTTTTGTATCTTCGATTTAGGTAAATGTTGGGGTTATTGATTCTTCTTGCAAACAGAGGTCGACCGATGATGTTTAGTGGTCGACCTATTTATGTTTTGTTTTGTTTATGCATGTAGTGTATAGGTAAACCGGTTTACGGACATGTCGACCAAGTCTGGTTGGTTTCTTTCTTTGTCTAACGTGAATTGTTGCTTGTTTGATTTCGGGATGTTTTGAGGGAAAAAGAAAAGAAAGTCAGACAAAGGGGCTGCCTCAAATTCTGATTGGGATGACTTCAACCCCACTCTATTCCAGAACAAGGAGCAAAGTGACAAATATGAAGAGAGGAGAATGCATAACCGTAAGGTGGCTCCTGGAAGGTCATTGATGACGGATGCGTATTCTCATTTCGAGAATTACGGGTTTCTAGCACCCTTTGTCGAACAAGAGTGGCTGAAGGTGATATCTCTGAATGCACCATACTACCCTAAAATGGTACAGTACTTCTACAACAACATCATCTATCAGCATAATGCAAATGGATCCATTCGTGCATTTAAAAGCTATGTGAATAGGGTGGAGATGCGCATCAGCAAGAATGTGTTGGCAGAAGTACTGGAGACTCCAAACTAGGGGAAGAGAATCAATTCTTACACTGCTTGGAATGAAACTCATTTCTCGAGAACCAAGAAAATCCAGACGGTATGTGATCTTGTTGAAGAGGAAGATGCTTAGGATCGTAGTAGGCCAACGAGTAACCAGCTGACAGTTCAAGCCGGAGTTCTTCACCACATGCTTTCCTACAACATTCTGCCAAAGGGTGGACATCGGGAGGCAGACACCTATTTCGACATGGAGCTCCTCACCAACCTACTGTTAGATGAGAAGGTGAACTTGCCATACTTGATCATTAACCACATGCTTACTGCTGCAGAGAGTTCAAATAGGAATCTTCCCTATGGGATGATCATGACTTTGCTATTTGAGCATTTTAATGTGGATTTAAGTGATGAGGTTCGCTTAAGAATCTCAAGGCATGAGTTCTATACAGTTTCATCTATGAAAAAGATGGACTTTGAGCTGCGTAATGGTGAGTATGTCCGAATAAACAATTACGATTTGTGTTTTATTGTATTTCTTGTTAGTTTGTTTAGTTGTTATGTTATGAAGTTACGAGTCCTTGTTATCATTATTTATGACTGATTCTGTTGGTTTGAAACATAATTTGTATGAGCAAAAGAACCACACAAATCGACATACATAAGCAAAAAAGACGCAGGGCATAGGTTGATTTACCTATATTCGGTCGACCTAGTACCGGATTAGGTCGACCGCGAAACCAACACGATCTTCAATTTACGTCAAATATGATGGATAAATGGATACAACACTTTTCTTCTATCTGGTCGGCCTCTTTCTGTAAATGGTCGGTCATTTTGTTAATGAACGCCATCAAGTGTTTGACCTATATACCTTTACGGTCGACCATGTTGCTTCTGACGCCAATGGAAAGGGCGACCGATGTTTTATTGTGGTCGACCAAAAATAACAACTTAAACTACAAACGGTCGACCATTTGATCTTTGAGGTCGACCGCGATGAGTCCTCAGGGTGCTCAAATTAGTCAATTCAGTTGACCTTCGTTAGGATTAGGTCGACCGAAATGTCCATGTTACGGTGACATGCATGTCACCATAGGCACACCCTAACTATTATGAAGTGGGAAATTATAGCCACAATTATAGAAATTCAAATTATTAGCCATAATTATTGTTGCCGGTCAAGATATGGCTAATAGTCTGTTACCGTTATAGAATTGAAGCTCGACGTTTATTTTTTTATTTATAAATTAAATATTATAAAAAACTTAAAAATACCCTCCCACCCACCACCGCACCCTTCTTCCTCCCAACTACCTAACCCTTCTTCACTTCGTCGTCGTCATTCCTCTTCCTCGCACCCGTTCCACACCATCCCCTCCTCCTTGTCGTCGCCACACCCCAATCCTCCTTGCCGTCGAGCACCGCCGCAACGCAATCCTCCTCCTCTTGCTCCTTTTCCCTTCCCTTGTTTATTCTCTTTTGCAGGTCGGATTCTCCACAACAGAGGAGCGGCCAGCTGGGGGACTGCGAGAGAGAATGAAGGTCGACTAGTCGAGGCTCCCTAAGGGTTTCCGATGCTCTCCTTCTCCTTCTCGCCTTCTCCCCAAGAACGACGCCACACAGGGGAAAAACGGGGCACAGAAGATGCAACCCGCTGACTCGGACTGACGGGCTAACCGCAGTTGGAGGAGAGATTCGTTAGATTTGCGACGATATGGAGACTTCGAGGCGAAATCCCTCAAATGGGCGGCGATCTGGAGGCTTGGAGGCGACTCCAATCTCTGTCCTCTTCTTTAAAGATTCATCGCACCGACTTCTGCCGCGATCGATGTCCCGATTTCCCCACAAGAAGCTTTTAACTGCCTTGCTTCCCTCATTTCCCCCCTCTGCTGCCATAGATGTTGGCCACCATCTCCGACTCTTTCCGTCGAAAGCCCCATGGGAGTGCGTTTTATGCATTTAGAGGGTTCAATTGATGGGAGCGGTCGGACTGAATCGCCGCCATCAATCCCAATCTGAATCGCGTAGGAGACAAGGGAGGGCAGAGGAAGATAGCTGAGATTTGGGCGTTTCGATGTAGGATATGGTCGTGATCCAGGCAGGGATGAAGAAGAAGAAAAAATGAAATTTTATAATATCCTCTATTACTTTGGCAACAAAACAAAAAAAAAATCACTGCTCTCTATCAACTACACCATTTTTACGACCCTAGTAGTTTTCTACCATAACCATCGAGCAAAGAGAAAAAAAGAGAACGATAAAAGATTAAAAGAACATATTAATGTTATAAATTTGCCTTTGAATGTGAGAGTTGAGACTTAGGTCACACAATTCGTAGGAGGAAGGCCGGCGCTCCCGCTTCAAAGCGGGAAATCGCGGATTTAGGGGAATCCGTTGAAAAAACGCGAATTATTTTCCGCTAGAGCGCGAATTGTTAGGAGAAAAACGCCGAATTATTCTGAAACTGCAGATTTTTAGAGTTCTTAAACCAGACAAAAGGAATCAGCTATGAGATGCAGCACAACTAATTTGGGAGATCTTTCTTGTGTAATCGAAGTAATAGGATAGAAAGCACGAATAAATTAACAAATACAATCCGAAGATGATGAGTTGCTGCTTCGATGGAGAAAGATGTATCTGTGTTCGAGTTTTGGAGAGTAAAGAAAAAAGACAGAACTGATGTTTTCAGCAAATAAGAAAACCAATTAATTGCCCCTGTAGCATTATGTTTGAATCTTTGAATGCATGGGTTGTTGGATGATCTGGTACTCATCGGCGAAGAGTAAATCTGGCCGTTTTACAAAGGCGGCAAGATTTGACAGAGGATTGAATAAATTGAATGAATGAAGCGAAGAGATGGTGAGTGTTCTACAAATTCTCGAGGTTACTAGGAAAATTTTCAATGTTAGAACTTAGATTCATATGAAGATTGGGGACAAAGGGAAAGTAGTAGAGATCTTAGAACAGAGAAAATAGTTAGCTAGAAAAGTGGGGAAGAAGAATGAAGACGGTAGAGACAAGCAGAAGGGGGTTATTTCTGGAAATTTTGGGCTGTTGGGAGTGGTGATAGACCGATGGTACTGCTTTTTCGGTTTTCCCAAACAATTTAATTAGAACGCTAATTAAAATAATCAATTTTGGAATTTAAAGAAATAATATGCTAAATTTTGTCATTTTTATTTTTTTGGCTCGATTAGTAATTAAAACTGTAGAACTTCCTTTTTCAAACTATTTTTTCCAGAAGTTGTACAAGTATTTCATCATAATTTACTGATATATTAAATAATATTTTAATAATAATAATATAATATTCACGCTCTCTTGCCGCTCTTAATATCTAATTCTTGAACACTAAGCGCTCTCACGCTTTCGCTCCCACTCTCGCTCCCGCTTCACGAATCGGTAACCTAAGTTGAGACTATTTGACCATAACCAAGTTCTATCTTCTATGAAACCTTTTGACAATGGAGATGATAACACTTGAATGCGGTGATTTATACCCCCATTATTAGGTGTTATCATGTGAAATTTAGAGTATTAGCATCCTAAATCATTGCATTTTAGCATAAGTTAGCTTTATATTCGATATGGATAGATATTATGCGATGAATGTAATTGTATAGGTGTAAACGAGACGATTTGGGCACAACTGTAAGGTTTTGGCAGAATTTTAAAGATCACGTCTGCAACACATAGACCACAATCTCGATCCCTTCTAGTGATATGAGTTCACGAGTGGGCGCAAATGATCATAATGCCCATGAACGCGTTAATAAAAATGCCAAAAACGAATAGAGAGTTTCAACGAGTTCAATCTCGATCACGGGTAAACGTCCGACTTGAACTCAAAGATCACGATTGAGAAGTCAGAAACTGCAATCTTTGCTATAAAATTTGAGTAGTTAATAAGCAAGGAATCGAGTCTTTAGAACTTTGTTCTATCAAGAGATGAGATGAAAATTAAAAGTTTATGATTTTGTTTTGTTTTGTACATGTTTTGTAGGTTGTGATTGAAGGCATGACATGGCAATATCTTTGTAGGTTTTGAGATTGTTTTTAATTCATACAAATATGGCATAATATGACGTGGAAAATTAACTCTAGTTAATGTTAGATCAAATAATTTTAATTGAATTGTTCATTGATAAAATATTTTGAATACTAATTAATATCCCAAAAAAACATATGTTTGTACAAGTTTCACCTCTTGTAAAATTGTTGTAACAGGAATATCAGATTTTAGAATAATTAGGATCAAAATTTTATACGAGTTTCACCTCCTGTAAGTATACAATATAATTGTATTTGGCATATACAATCGAGTTTTTCCTTCATCCGGAAGTAGAGAGAGGAGTGAGAGTGGATTTCGGCTTTCGGGTGGTCCAGGGGAGGAGCGGAAACTTTTGGAAAATGCGCCTCCTATTGGATTTTGATGGAAGGGTCAAAGGATGGATGGGGTGGGTGGTGGTGGCATTGTTTGTTTTATTATAATTATTACTACTAGCTTATAACCCGGTCCATTGGCCGGAATATTCATATTTAATTATTTATATTTTTATGTTATGTTTAAGCTAATCAACCGGTTTAATTTTATTGATAATTCTTCGATCAAGATGATACATAAAGAAAGAATATATAGGTCTAACATTCGGAGAAATACCATATCATTTAAGAAAAAAAAATATAATTTATCAATAATTCCATTTTCATAATGATAATTAAGCCCTTATTAAAATGCTATTGATTAGTTGATTGTCAAGAAAGAGAGTATAAAAGCTCAGTGAAATTCCACACGACTCATAGATAGTTTGAAACTAAATCTTAAACCTCACAATCCTACATAAGGGTTTAATGCGCTCCTTTTATGAACAATATGCCACTAATAAAAAAGAAATGGAGAGTTGTTGATTCAAGTCAACTATATACTAACAACTCAGCTAAGAGGGGACCATCAAAACTTGAGAGCAAACGACAAAATTAGGGTTATCTCCAACATACTAATAGACTCAATCAAAGTAATAAGGTACAAAATTAAACACTCCTGGTTTATCAGTTCCGGTAGGTTGAATAAAGAATCGACCTACTTCAATAAATCAATCAATGATTCCTCGTTTTAAGATAGAAATAGGTTGTGATAGATATAAAAACCATAAATATAAAGATCCAATAGCCACCACTCTTCGTTGTACAACCAAATTTTTATCTCAAGAGACATATATTTCAACCAAAATTTCAATTTCTAATCCTCCTTCTGCAACTCCATTATTTATAAAACTCTTTTACTTGCCCAACTTAAAACCCAACAATAAAACCGACGTGCCAAAAGATATCAGATGATTGATTTTCAAAGGAGGCCTTGTACTGGGAAGTGAAAGGGGTGCAAACTATTGTACGATGGAGGGAATTTTTGAGGAAGTTAGAAAGAGATAAGAACAAAGATAAAAACCACAAAATTTAAATTGAAAATTGCAAGGACACAACACGTAGTGACAAAATTAGTTTTTTCCATGTTAGCCAATTACCAATTTACCTTTAGCAAAAATTAAAGAGAGAAATAATTTTAAAATTGAGAAAGTACATGAAACTCTATAATGAAAATTGAAGTATCAAGCACCATAAAAATACATACGGTATACTTAGTGGGCTTGCTAATCATGATGGAAAGTCCTGCGATTTTCAGAGAGTTGAACTTCGTGTATATTTTGTATTCAAAAAGACACAACAAATTTGTTCAGTGTAAATGGTTGTGATTGTTGTCTTTGTCTGAAGAGACCCGAGTTCAAATCCTAATGTTGATATTTTTTATGTGAGATAAATAATTAATTATAAAGACAAAAATATCCTTCCTACTTTCACTCTCATTGCACAAAATTTGAAATGGAGAAAAATACACAAAAGTGTACTATATATTATTGGAAGATTGGTGTTGTTTGATTGCTTCAGTTTTATATTTTTTTTTAAACATTATTTTAATTATAGTGACATGGTATCTGTCGCCAACGAATCTTATGTGATAATATATTTAATTGATTATTTTATGAGGGGGGAGTTTTTTGTGGGCTTGGGCAGATCTTTACAAAGAAGAATAGTGGTGGTATTGATTTGGGAGGGCAAATTACTTTCTCAACTCTGATTGGTCGACTTGTTTATATGGGTCTACTACCCAATAATCCTCGGCGGATGCTCGTTTTTTTCTTTATTTACTTTACTACCTTTTGCTCCTGATCACATTTGAATATAACGTATTTACTATGTATTTTGTAAAGTTTTCAAAATATTTGAAATGTGTATTGCTACTAAGTAGCGAAATTGTTAAAATTGAATTACATAATAAAAATATGAAAATTGAAATATCAAACACCAAAGAAATACTTACGAAAAAGTTAGTGGGCTAGCTAACCGTAGTGAAAAAGTCATATGTTTTTAAAAATTTAGGTTTATGTATGTTTTTAGTTTAAAAAGATATATAAAATTCATTTAGTGTAATTGGTAATTATTCGTGTCATTGTTTAAACAAACCATGATTCAAATCCCATGATTGATGTACTTTTTTCTATGAATAAGACAAATCTATCATTCCTATTTATACTCTCGTTACAGGAAATTTGAAATGCTGAAATTGTTTCCATCTCTACTATTATATATTGTAAAGTTTTTCTCTGCAAGGCCACTCCTAAATTCAAGGTGATTGACAATTTTTTTATGGTTAACATTAACCGTCACATAACTTTTAACTTTGTATGAAAGTAGCTTTGTTACTGGCCATAGTATCACAAGTAACGATTAACATCATTTTGGTATGAATCGACTGTTAAGACCTTAGAACGACAACTACAAGACGAGTGCATAAAATGCTCAGACCTCAGATGGTCTTCGGCGCACTCACTTTTTTGGGTGCATTCAATGCACGCGCCTCATAATCGTCATTCTGAGCAGACAATTCATGTGAAAACAATGTCAATCATCCCTTGTGGTATGATGAACAAGAGCCACATGAATTTGTACAAAATTCATTCCAAGATTCACTTTAATTTGAATGATCCAGGGTTTAGGAATTTAGGGTTAGGGTTTACAATTTGGAATTTTGGGTTGAGATTCAAAATTGAAGGTTATTAGGTTAGGGTAATGGGTTGATTAATTGTGATTTTGTGTTATATAATCATACGAAACTAATGCTACCCATTAGATTTCAAAATTTGATGTATTATGACCTCTTTTAGTGGTGGGTGCACTGAATGCACCCAAAAAAGTGACTGCACCGAAGACACCACCTATA